TTTGTGGTTAATTCATTGATATCTCAGCAAATGTCTACTAAATAATATTTTGATGTGTGTGTATTTTATAATATGTTTACTGTCTTACTAATGAAAAATCGTGGAAGTATATTTTTCCAGTATTTTATAATATATTTAATGTTTTACTATTGAAAAATTATGATGGTATATTTTTCCAGTTGAATGAAATATTAAATCAATCATAACTAATGCAATTAATGATTTTTTTTACATTCAAGAATAGTTTGAAAACTTTATCTAATTATATAGTTTATAATTTCATCAACAATTATTTACGACGTCTAAGTGAAGGGACATTGCTTTATCAATTAAAAATTAAATTGTATACATCATATATTATTAAGTGCGTTTAAAATGCACTTTAGATGGAAGTATAAAATCAATCTACAGGAGAACGCTGAAAGTTAACGCTGCGTTGTGTCAAATAAGGTATTTTTATTATTACTGTAAAAAATATACCGAATGGACGGTAAAATCTGGACCATAAAAATCTGAAATTTTTATGTGGTCGACTGAAGAGTTCGTAAATTAGGTCTTACGCCATATTACATATTCTTAGGTGAATAGTGTTGCTGAAAACTATTTTTGACTTTAAAACGTTGGTACTTTCAAAACATTTGTTTGCGTTGCCTATATTAAAAGTTAATATTAAATTCGAACGATAAATAAATTTCACCCAAACGACTATTTCAATATTTTATTTTATTTAAGTTCAGGCCGATATGTTTTTTTCATGTTATTTAGTCGAATACATACTGAATGCGCATAAGTTACAAATCGTTTAAGTATAATATACTATAGTCATACTGCTGCAGGTGATCACCTAGTATCCTATAGCTGCATACTTGCATTTATTCGTACAATGTTAATTCAGTTAAAATATCATGCGTATTTCTGCAATGTAATAGTGATAATACGTCAATGATTTATAATAAATTCAACTATAACATTTAAAATTCGTGTTTGTAAAAATCATTTTATGAATTTTTGTGATTTTCACAACTGTTTTAAATTGTATGAAATTCCATCAACGGATGGAGTATTTTAATCAACCATCATTCCGCGTTTCTACATCACTTTCTTTAGTTATAATACGCCAATTGTAAAGTATATTTTTAGAAAAAAAATTTAAAAACATGTACTTCAACACCAAATATGGAAATCTTATAATTTTGAAATCAGAAGCCAAAGCCTGTAAAATATTCTGAAACGTTTACTTCCAAAATTTCGGAATTAAAAAATCCAAAACGGCAGAGCCCGCGAAGACCAGTATAACATGAGACACAGGTGTTTTTTATTGATGCTTTGGCGTTTTAAAATTTTTAATGCATTATACGCATATTATATTAGAATATATATTGCATAATAAAGCGTACCTACCAATAACATTGAATTTTTTATTGTGTGACATTGACACATCCGCAATCTATATGATAATTTATTTATATACACATTCATATATGTATGTATATAGAATAAGAGATCATATACCTACCTATATTTTTTTTAATTGCGTTAGCTATTAAGTTTATTATTTAAACATAATATAGGCATATATACACACAGTGATAATATTATATAATGCATCGGTACGCCGTTGGTTAGCTCTGCGTACGAGTTGCATTATCCGGTTATTCTGTATTACTGTATAGTAAAAAAAAAAAAAAAAATACAAAGACAGAGAGACGCGTCGGAGTCATATATGATGTACCCATATGCGTAAAACAACAACGGAAAATCGTTCGCGCGTGTCCTATAATGTAAAAAATAAATACGTGATATTCGTTTCACAGATGCTAATATATATATATATATTATAAGCTGTTGCCAGGACCGGTGCTGCGATATTGTAACACGATATTATTTCGGTTTACCGTCGTCGTGATGTCAGAGAGATGCGTTCGTATATACGTTTACGTGACGGGAAATACATAAAAAATCTTTTCGGCGAGGTCGCGTCGCAGCCGAGTGCAGTGCCGTATGTATGTCTTAAAAAACGAATAATAACACCGAAAATCGGACCAGAAAGCTTTGCACACAGAGTCTATATACGACCACGTCATGATGTGTTGTCTCGGACTCTTGACATTCGCCTGCCATCATACACACACACACACACATATATATATATATACGCGTACTATCGAGAGGCACCATTCGGACACACGCGTTTGATACACAACTATAGTAACTGCCCATATTTCGTATAGACGGCGAGACCGACGTCGGAGATTAATGGCAAAAGGCAATAAAAGTCCTCCATGTGGAACGGGACCGTTGAGGCCGAAAACAAGACTAAAAGCCGTATAGGCGTTCGGAAATGTTCTCGGGTAATCACTCTGCTGCTGCGGTATATATATATATGTACTTGGGGGGGGGGGGTGAGAAGGGCGGCCAGAAACCGGCGGGGAAGCCTCCTCTCGTCGAATCGATAATTTTCCCCGTTCGAAATATATATACGTATTGTATATGCGATACAAATAAATTTGTATATTATTGTATGCGTGTAGGTAGACTGCAGGTGGGTATAGGTATGCCTACAATATTATTGCCTCGTTTACATTCTTCGGGAATAAATCGTAAACGCATGCTGTGCCTACGGTAAAGATATCATTTCTTGTTTCAATCAAAAAATATTATGTCATACGATTTTTCGTACAAAGTAAAAATAATGAAATGAGCATGTCGCGTGACGAAATTCTTGGATTTTATGATAGTCGAGAATAAGATCCGTGGTAAAATGTAACACTATACCGTCGGATTGCAGCAACCATTTAACACTTAACATAATATGTGATGAATCATAATAATGAACAGGCAGAGTGGTATAATATAGTCGCTTAATTTTGATTTACCGGCCCATGATTGGTCCATTACATTTTAGCGAACCTTAATGATTTAATTAATCAATTTTGTTTTGCAACTCGACGTAGTATGCTCTCTAACGTTCTAACCGTACGCGATTGATGGTAATTATCATATTATATTTTCTTTTGATTTTAGTAATGGTGTAACATACTTTGAATGTTTGCAGATAAGCTAAAACCCGGTGAACCTTAAATTAAATACGAATTGATGACATGGCGTATATACCTGTATAATGTGTTGTATATTATCACACTGAGTGATTATTTTGGTACCTAAGTAAAATGAAATGAATAGTAGAATATTATTCACTCGGTGTTTAAGATGGCTGTGTGATGTTTTGTAGACAATACTGATATTATATTATTAATTATTTTAACCAAAAAAAGTTAGACACCTACATATTTTAGTAGATAATACAATATACAATTTGGGTAATTATTTTAGAAGGATGACTATATTTTTACCAACTACGCTTAATCGCCCCTTCTCGTACACATCATTAGTGCGTATCTTTAATAATATACCTAAATGATTTATTATTATAATTAAATTCCGGATTCTCGTGCGGTCGCAACTTTTTAATGCGTGTACCAAATTGTATATAGAAACAAGTTATAAATCCGAATCAAGCGGAGTAAGTAGATTAATCCTAACAAAGTTTTATTTAGTTCAAAATCGCACATTTCAGGGTTGTTTTACACATTAAAATGTGTATTTTAAATTGGATTTCATCGAAATACACGTTTTTGCATTGTTACACACCTACAGGTATATTATTTGCAGCTTGTGTTACTTTATCATTGTCGTTGGACTTGGAGTTTAACATAATACTAATTAGTAATTGCGATGTAATTGTAAAGATAACAATGCCGACGAATGAATAAAAAATTGTCAGGCAATGGCCCAAACGACGAGGCTTATCTTAATAATGAAAAAAAATATATATAACGAAGATGTGACAACTCTCGTATATGTACACGAGTGGACGACCAATTATATAGACAGGCGGTTGTAGGAAAAGGACTTGTAAACTTTATCCTCGAGAATAAAAAAAACTTAGAAATGTACATGATGGTAAATTGTAATAAAATGTTATAAATTAGATGGCGTTTCATAATGTGTCTTATGTTATATCGCCTACTGCGCACAAAAATATTAGGTAGGCATGATTATAATATGAAATAAATAGTTAGTGATGAAAATATTGACTGGGCTGTCTAAATCAAGAATATCGTTATTGTTTACAGTTCTCAATTCACCGACAGTTTCACTTTTGCACGTTTTTCAGGTGTATGCGGAACTAGTTTACTGGTCTCATATACAAGTACAATATACTATATTTTGTTTTTCTTTAAAAACAAGATGCACATAACTTGCAACACCGATTGATGAAATATTTTGCAGCAGTATAATTTCGCGCTCCAGATAATAGTATAACGTATGTATAAATCATCGATTGAGGGTAGTCCGCGGGAACACAAGTTGAAAACTGCGGAGCGGGGGCCGACGTCTAAAGGGTATGATTTCGTCCCATGCATGTCTCGTCTAACTTTGTATAATGTTGGGTGATGTAAATGATAACAACAATCACCGAGCGCCGAGAAGTTTGCAACACTTTACGCACTCGGCACAGAGACTGTTTAATAGAAGCAGAGCGTATAATAGTGTGACGACATCGGTTTAGCGTTAATCACAATAATTTTGTACATCGAAAAAAAAATGTGATTAATATTCGATAATTGCTGTAAAAAATCGACAAAAAAAAAAATAAGTCCATAATCGACCGAAATATCAGCGGTCAGGCGCGGGGCGGCACGGCCCCTCGCCCGGCGCGTGCCCTTGATCGTGACGACGACGGTCGGCGCCCCCCCCTCCCGCGGCCGTCACATCGGTCCGCGATCGTCCGACGACGACGACGACGACGACGTGACCGGTCGGACGACCTACCCGCGCGACCGGCCGACGGACGAGCGGTCGCGGCGGCTGCGGCTCGAGCGGTACAACGGCGCGGGTGGAAGGGTGCGCGGGCGGCGAGTGGGTCGGCGCGGGCAAGGTCTTTTGGCGGCAAGGGCACGGGCGGGCGGGCCGGCTGGCCGATCGGCAGCCACTGAGCGCGGACCCGCGGCACACCGGTCGCGCGCGCTAATCGTTAAACTCGCATGCACCCGCGTGATCGTCCGTCGTTGCAGTCGTCGTCGTCTTCGTCGCCATCAACGCGCAACCGGCTTTACGTCAACAGCACCAACAACAACAACAAAAACGACGACAATCGGCAATAATTGTAGAGGAGAACGCGAAGACGTGCGGCGTAACAACAATAATAATATTAACATTAATAATAATAATAATAATAATAGATATCATCATCGTTTTAATATAACTATGATATAAATTATAAATTATTGATATTATACCGCCGGACGGTCGCGAGTTACTCGTCGGGGCACGCGGACACTCGCGTTACGCACACGTGTTAACCCTGACCGCGCTCAACAGAACGACACCGTCGTCGCAGCAGCAGCAGCAGCCGTCTCAGTTGTTCTGTGCAACGTTACCCAACGATCACGACTCGCGCAATATTCAGAGTTCCCAACGTCAATAATAATCATAAAATTATATATTATTTTTTGACATTTCTGTTTATTTTTTTTTCGAATACATTTTCGTTTTCGGCCGTTCTCGAGGCAGTAAAGAAAACAAACGAACGGCGCGATGCAATTTTTGACCGGTACATCGCAGACGAGTGCCGGCGGCGGCGGTATGTTCGGCGGCGCCGATGGCGCGGAGCTGTACGCGGCCACGGCGTCGGCGCCTGACCATTACTTTTGCCAGCGAATGTTGTACGCGATGCAGTTCGATTCGGTGGCCGCGGCCGGCGCCGGTATGTGTTCGCCGCTGTTACCGTCGTCGTTGTCGTCGCCGCCGTCACCGCCGTCGTCGTCGTCGTCGTCGTCGTCGTCGTCGTCGCCGTTATCGTCGTCATCGCCGTCGTCGTTATCGTCGTCGTCCTCGTCGTCGTTGTCGTCGTCGCCGTTATCGTTGTCGTCGCCGTTGTCGTTGTCGTCGCCGCTATCGCTGGCGTTGACGCCGTCGATCGGCGGTCGTTGCTTCACGACAACCGCCGCCGCCGGGGACGTGAAAATGATGGACGCGTGCCCGGCGTCACCGGCCAACGATCATCTCCATCACCACCATCTGCATCATCACCATCTTCAGCTGCAGCAACAGCACGCGGTCGAGAACAGGAAACGTCCGTTGCAGGACACGTTGGACGGCGCTAACGTCAAGAGGACGCACAGTTCGTCCGTCGCAGGTAAGACACGTCTAATTAAATTGGAATTAATTACATGTGCATAAGCAATTAGACCACGCAAAAAAATGTATACATTTCGGACGTCATAACGTATATCATTAGTTTTTTTTTTGTTATTATTCTTACGCAATATACAAGCGATATCATTTAAGAAGCATTGTGAAAATTATAATAAGTACCTCCACAAGTACCTCCGAATATTATTTCCACCTATAATCCTCACAAACCATAATAATAATATTAACGACCAACTGCAGTATACCCAAGCGTATCTTTATAAATGTTTATCAATTAATTATAATAGCTATTGCAAGTTAATTTATGTTTCGTTATCGTCATTTAAATTTAATGATCAGATATTGTATAGTTATTACTCTGCAACTTTGCAAACGAAACGATACTTTCAAAGTCAAAGGAGACTAGTACCCACGTACCTGTGTAGCTGGTGTTCGACGTATTATAATAAATTAATATTAATATTATATCGATCGAAATAAGAATAAATATGGATTATCAACGAGAGGAACCTTGTACGAATATTGTAACTTATATTTAGTCGAAATCCCTAAGGCGCTATAAATATAATTTTGGCGTAATACCTGTGTGTTCAGGCACGACAATTTGTGTGCAATTTGAATATTTAATTACACCTAATACCTATCATATATTTTTAGTGGAAAGGTTAAGGTTTAAAAAAAAAAAATTAAATAAACGAAACATTTTGGAATTTTCATAGATTTAATGTATTCATTTTTTGAAAGAAAAAAATGGTCATAATATTTGTAAGAATCCCGTTCCTTATTGGTACTGATTTTATTTTAAGATTGACGTACACGTTATTTTTCTAATAATATTTAAACGGATGCAAACAAAATAATTTAAATCGTATACCTTCTATCAAAATTACAAAATACCCAAAACAAATAGTAGAAACTATATAGAAACATTTTGTTTAATTTTATTATTATTATTTACCACTGATTTGATATGACAGAATATTGTACGTACCTATATATGATATGTTTTTTCGCTAATTTAAGACTAACGTTTTTTTTTATATTAAATGATAAATATTTAAAAATGTATTTTTATTCAAATGCATATGAACGCGCCGTGTAATAATTAAAATATTGTAAAATATTTTTTCCCTCGACATTTTAATCGGCTGATCAATTAACATTGAATTACGCCAATAAAATGAGACATTATTTAAAATGTCCATACAATAATTATTTTTACATTGGAGATACGTTTTAAACTTTTGTTGTTTATTATTTATAAATTATAATTAATTAATTTCGAGACGTTTATGGGCCATTATTATTTTAAACTACAGTTAAAGTAAACCGATTAGCGGGCCGATTAGGTACTAGAGAAAACCCCTTCATAAAATTCATAAGCCACATAATAGGTAGGCAATATATTTCACCGATGGGGCTATGGGGGATTATTTATATTTATAAATAAATATTGTGTTATTAGAATAATAACAAGTATGCCCTGGTATTCGGGTATAATTTACGATTAATAATTATAAATACATATTTATCCAAAAACTAACTAGTTATAAACTTATAAATAATAGTCATAAATAGTTAGTTTGAATATAATTATTTGATATACCATATTATTATATTTACAATTGTTTTCGATGATTTTTTTCCGATGTTTGTTTTAAGTTTGTATCGACAAAATAAATGCATTGTGAATAATTATGTTTATATTTATAATTTTTTTTTTTATAATAATATAGGTTACACTAACACCGTTAATTTTTCTTTTCAAACAATGTGACGTAAATTTGTTTTATGAATTCATCGGTGTGATGAATATGTAGTATAACTATTTACTAGGTTATATTATATTAAAGTAAAAATACATTTAAATAATATTTGTTGCAATCGAAAATAAATCACATCATATACGCCATTGTACCTTATATTGTCAGCTATACAGTTCATCCATACTAATTACGAATGACAAAACTAAATTAACTTATTACTACGAATTTCTGATTTACTATATTTTAAAATGTACAACATTAATATACTGAAATAAACTGAACTGAAATTGTGTCCGTATCGCAATTTTTATACAGATTTTAATACAATATACTTACTGCAGAAAAATGAACAAACCTTCGAAGAAAAGTAAGTGATTCTGAGTGATTCTTCTAACATTGACCACTTATTACAATCAAAAGTGTAAAGTAACGCTTTTGAAGATATTTTTTTCACATAAATTAAAGTCAAAGTACTTATAAACTTAACTGTTTTCGTTTTGTTATAATTCTTTATAAGTTTAATGTTTTTAGTTTTTTGAAAGATGACATATTTTACTGAAAATGTCGATGTTCAAAAGTCGAATTCGAACGACTGGTTAATTTTCTATAATTAGTCACCTATTAAAAGTTTTGATGAGTGGGATAATAGACCAAAGTAGACTAATATTTTGCATGTTACCCGCACTTGCCGCTCCACTCCGCTCGTCTATACTTGAAATATATTTTATGACTGTTCAATTAATTAAGTAATTACTAGTTCAAGATTCGATTTATGTAAATCAAAATTCTCCACAAAGTTCCTCTTTTGATGACGAGTTAAAAATCCATAGGAAAAAAACAAGAAGTTAAAAAATGTATTAATTTTTACTTAAAAAAATCGTGTTATTTTTTTAAAACGGTTATACTTTTCGAGATAATAATTCTTTGCTGTTAAATTAATCGACCTCCATACATTTTTATAAATTTAAAAGGGTTTAGGTACACAGGATATTGTAATAAAAACACCCTGATTTTAGTAACCAATTTTTCCGCGAATAATAATGACTTTATTAACCAAATTAGTTGTCTAGGCTATTGTGTTTCATCTATATGCATATCCTCTAAACACAAAAACTTATTCCATGAATTTTTTTTTAGTTTCTTAGTTGTTTAGCTAATTTAATTCTTATTATTTTTCCTTTTGATCTATTTTACACTAGTGTTGATCTTAAATTGTTTTCCTCATTTCTTTGATCTATTTTTTTTGTCATTTTAAAACTGTGCGTTTATTTACTTCGCACTTCGCAGTAATCGTAAAATCTTTAGAATTGTTATATCGTCGTTGCGTTTATTAGTAATAAAAACCATTTCGTGCATAATAGCATCTACTGAAACAATTCGTGCTTATAGAATTGTGGTTACGTGTTTTAGTTAAATTTATTTTTGATTATTTCCAATTGTTTTGTTATAATTAATTGGAGTCCAAAAAAAAAAATTGTTCACACCATTTATCAAATAAAATGTGTTTCGTAAGGGAAATGATAAATAAATGCGTATTTTGAATCTGGAAATGTGTATGGAAATATTTAATACTTGCTAACAAATGTATTTAAGTACATTTACAATTATTAAACTGTATCAAAATATTATAAGGACAAATGTATTTTTTTTTTTATTGAATAGATAATTTTTATAAAATTAAGCGGCTTAAGGTTTTTCTAAATAACAAATAAACAAATTAATTTACAAAAAATGATTTTTTTCTGAATTATTGGAATTGTAGTTTTTTCTTAATTCTTGGTACTGCATTAACTACTAAGTTATTGGCATACAACAAAAGAAATATTAAGTCGATTTTATTTAAGGACTAATTACATAATAATTATTTACATTAAAATACTTATTTACTATTATTTTTATTATTCATTAATGATTTTATTTTTGATAGCGGTTATTTAATAATAGTTAATATACTGGATTAAACACACATTCAATCGCACTCTGTTTGTATTTACTTTATATAACTAGGTACATATGTATTAATTTAAGAATATACATTTGCAACGGTTAAAGGTCACTGTATCGCTGTGCAGGAAACACATTTACTGATACCCAAATAGGTGCTATGTATAATAATATTTCAAAGCGTAGTAATTAAATTTACATTATTTATTCCATAGGTTATGTGTAACATAATATTATTTCTAAACAACACGAGGGAAATTTAATTTAATTTATAATTACTATATACACGGTTCTTATAGCTGATAATGTTATACGGACCATGGTGTATAAGAAAGTAGAGGTACCTTTATAAATTAAATCAATCGGAAATCTATTCCAAATCCTGATAAATTATAGTTCCTAATACAAAATAAATAATATCGTTATAAAAGACAAAGATTGATAACACTACCGACTTTAGCGTAGGTACTGTACATTCATAGCTATTATATAATATTAATGTTTTATTCAATTTATTTTATAAATTATCGGGATTAAAAATGTTTAGAAAGATTAATTTCCAGAAGTATCTGTCAGTACTCTGGTCGTATAGATATAGGACCAGAACAACCGTAAAAAACGAACGAACGCTAACAAGTAATAATTAATAGTTTCCTTATATTTTTTTGTTTCTTTTTTTTTTTTTATTAGCCCATGACCTTTTAATAAAATAGTTATACCTAGTGGAATATTTAAATAATGTCTTAAGTGATAATTTTAAGAATATTTTTATCAATCAGGCGGTGGATTTTCGAACTAACCTTAAAATATTACGAACTTTTAAATGGTAAAAAAAATAATTTTACATCTAAAATTTTCGGAGGTTCTCTAGTGGGAGAATTTTTCATCCTGAAAAACATGCCTTTTTTTCTTCATTATAGAGCATACACTTATGGTTCTGATGTGTATTTTTATACATATTAATTGCAGATTGTGAAATTAGTAAATCAATTTTAAATGAAATAAAAATCTATATCAATAATTCTCCTATGACTTGTACAGGAAACTTATAATTATAAGTCATCGAATATTTTATTTTGTTTCTATACATTTGTTTTATTATACATAATATAATCGGTTTTTAATATTAGCATAAAGCATTGAGCAGCAGGAATAATTATTTTATTTACCTATTGTATGCCAACATAAATAATAAAAGCAATACTTTGTTTGTAATGAAATATTTCGATTTAATTTTTTTTTATTTTCGTTCAAGACATAAAAAGATAAATAT